GGGGAGGGGAGGGAGGGAGGGAGGAGTACGTCTGGGTAGACATGTATGTGTGTGAACGGCTATGTATGTCAGAATGTATTGTACTGTATAGCCTTGCCTTGTAATTACGGAAGTGCTCGGTAATGTAACTAATTTGACGTACTGTGATAAACAGTAATGTCATCTAACTAATGAGAGGTAATGTACCTGGATGCAATGTACAAATTGATGAACCTATATTGGTAAACTGCTGAACGAGGCAGGTGCGTGGATGCATGCAGCCGGCAAACATACAAATCTTTCCTTCTTTTGGTAGAATCAGGTAGGAGGCAGATGTATATTTAAACAGTGAGACAAAGATATGCAAACGTCTATCTCGGGTTCTGGCAGGTGCTTTGGGACTCCCTTCCGCGACCCCTCTTACCCCACACGCTGTGAAGGTCATAATTAGCCAGTCATGCCCAAACTTCAGGACGAGAAGCCTGTTGCCCAGTGTGGCTTGTCGTTCGCGGCCCGGTCCTGATCCGGCCAGCCGGCGTGATGGCAAGCTTCGTGCTTTAGGGATGTTAATCTCAGCATGCAGTCTTCTCGTGAAGATGGGAAGATTGAGCGGTCTTGACAGCGAGCCGAAACGTGCCTTGTTGTGAAACGAGTGGCTTATAAGTTCACAAAGAATCCGGCTGCAGACTGCGTACGCGATGTGAGAGCCCTTCGCGCGGATCTGCATGTTTTTAGACACCTCTCGTGTCACCGCCCTCCCAAACCCCTGCTGAGCGAGGAGGCATGGCAGCATCTTCCTCAAGCGAAACAATGCAGGTCCTCGATAAGCTGCAGAGCCTCGCTGAGCTCTTCCGGGCTGCTGGCCAAGAGCTGCACACCTGATGACCGGAAGCATTACGAAGCCGAGCCAAAACCCAAACTCCGTGCAATCCGGACATGACAGCCATGCCTGCCCCCCCCCCCCACACACACACANNACACACACACACACACACGCACATAAGAAAGTGATTGATTGTTGTGCTCTCGTAACATGTTTTACTATTACATTCGTTGCTGTTGCTAATGTACGAGGAACACCTGGAGTTGATGCCGAAATCTTTGGCTCTGGCTCGAAGTGTGACTTGGCCTGTAAGTCGAAACACAGCCCGCGGCCTGTTGGTGTCGAGGAATCGAGGGTGTCCATCCTTTCAGACCGCAGAGTGAGACAGTGGGGTTTAGGGTTTTGGGTAAGCGACCCTAATACTCCTACGCCACTCTCCAGCGAAGGGGGATGGGCTTAGGTGCTCCACTGCTTCGGGCCCGGGCGTTTGAGCATTTAGCCTCTTGAGGTTCGGACACATGCCAGGCGGGATTCTAGATTCTGACGAAAAAAAGTTGCACTGAGGCAGTGATGTCAAAACCCGCTTGTGTATGCTTGTGTTCCAGTACATGTCCCTGTAGGACCACCAAATGCAGAGCAATTAACAACCAATCAAGAGAAGGTCTGACACTTCACCGTTTAGTGCTGGATTCCAGGATTTAAAATGCGGGTACTATGCGAAGTCTCCGACTCCAGCAATTGGTCAGGATTTGCTTGCTGCATTGAGCTGCCGATACAACTTGGCTCTATCTCCTGCACCCAATCCCCAACCCATGTAACAAAAACAGCAGTGCTGCAAATGCTGACATCATTCTCACTCCAAGCTTCTTACTTTCTTGCTGTTCGGATCTTTCTCGGATCTTTATTACTTGTAGACAGGCTAGTGCATCTCGTCCGTTTCCCATCTTCCGAACCCTTCGTTCAGGGCTTCGGATTGGCCAGTTGTGAGTTCTTCAATATCGAACATTGGGCCGGCAACACTATGCAACACTCTCTGCCGAAAACCAAGCAAAGCTCAATTGTTCGTGGAACTCAACGTAACAGGGAGCCTGCTGGTCGTCGAGTTGTTTCGACGGAGCAGTGCCGCTGCCTTGGCTTGGCTGTGCAGCTCCCGGACAAGCTGCTACTGCATACAGCACGAGCTAGGCCAAACAAGCCGTCCTCTACGGCAGTTTTCACATGCTGCACCGCCAGCCCTCGGCTTCGAAAGTAGCAGCCCCTGCCAAAAAAATGCAGATTTTCTTGCGTCAGAGTGGCTCGAACCATCTCAGTCCTTGCATCGGTCGGCATGTTAGTCATGTTGGGGCGCGCTGGAACGGAGCCAGCTTTCAAAACTGTATATGGCAACGTTTGCATTTCCAGGTCTTACTTGCCTGCTCCAAACCCATAAAGCCTGCTGATGCTGCAAGCTCAATGATTGCGCAAAGCCTTGCACATTGTGCCTGCAAAGCTCTTAAAGAAACTGTGCCGATCAGGAAGAACACGGCAAAAACAAACTTGATTGTCCAGCTTATGATAGCTTCTGCCTGCCAATAGTTAAAACGCATCAAAAAACACGAAGCATACGAATGGAAGTAATAATGACAATCATCCAAGAGCTTATAGTATGAATATCCCAGGATCCAGGTGAAGCTCGCCCCCATCTCGTAGCAAAGCCGACGGAAAGCGCAGTCCTCGGATCGCCCGCTCTTTATTCAGCTAGGGCGAAAAGGGACCCAGAAACACTCTAAGAGGTGTCAGTTAGTTATTTTTCCTCAAACATCCCCAGCCTGCAGATAATACATTTGGGGGCCACGCCACTAAATGGCGTTACGGTCATGGGGTCCCCGGTCACGTAACACAACACAAGTGTTGGATTCAGGTCATTCGACGACCCATGG